AAAACAAACAAGTATCCGTCTTATAAGTAGGACTGCCACTTGTTAAACCGTAATGTATAAACTTAAATACGATGATATTATACGAGTATTTTTAGGCATTTAAGTGACTCGTAAAATGAGATATTTCTTGGTGTTCTTGTATATAATACAAGTCCTGTCATCTGTACGTTGCCAGATATTTGATTTTTAATGCCGATGTTTTTCAAAGCTTCTTGCGTTTCGTTATACGTTGTAATAATATTTGTGATCTTTAAGATATCAAAATAAATGTCTGTGTAAAACTGTAATATAATAAAGCACCCCCCCCCCCATACCCCAAATCGATCAGCGCTTAGTTTGGGGGAGTTATACGTAGTGGGCACAGAATAGATAACCCATTGTGTAGCATCGTACTTAACTACAAACAACAATATATTAATGCCAAAATCTATTATAGCAATGATGCCCCCCCCCCCAAGTGGCACAGCGGTATGCCTGCGGACTTACAACGCTGGAATCCGAGTTTCGATACCCGTGGTGGGCAGAGCACAGATAGCCCACCGTGTAGCTTTGTGCTTAATAACAAACAACAACAACAAACATATCATTATGTTTTATCTAACTTCATGAAAATTCAAAATACTTGAATTGATGTATATGACAGTGAGCAATGTTTGACTCCGAAACGACCGTATTGAAATAGTTTTGTTTCTCAACCTTGCAGACCGACAATGGTACTGCATTACACGAAGCAGCTTTCTCCGGGAAGAATGACGTAGTACGTTTACTCTTGCATTACGCCACTGATCTTCATTTAAAAGATCAACATGGACGGACAGTATTGCGCTTGTTAGAAGAACTGGACACGAAGATTGCCAAGAAAACTTTACAAATTATTCAAGGTAAGTGAATAAGTAGAAGCACAAGACACAAAATATTTAGGTTAACAGTTGTACGTTGTGTTTGAAACTTAAATTCATTTCTTAAAAGCTTATGTAAGTCTGCAGTAACCGTATTACTTATTATGATTTAAGTGACTACACACGCGATAGTGACCTGATTTAAGTGACTACACACGCGATAGTGACCTGATTTAAATGACTACACACGCGGCAGAAACCTGGTTTGTGATTACACTCACGATAATAACCTGATGTAAGCGATTACATACGCGAGAGGAACCTGATTTAAGTGATTAACACGCGAGAGAAACCCGATTTAAATGACTACACACGCGACAGAAACCCGATTTAAGTGACTATACGCGCGACAGAAACCCGATTTAAGTAACTACACACGCGACAGAAACCCGATTTAAATGACTACACACGCGACAGAAACCCGATTTAAGTGATTATACGCGCGACAAAAACACGATTTAAGCGACTACACACGCGACAGAAACCTGGTATATATGACTACACACACGTTAGAAACCCAAAATACTTTATTTACCAGACGAAATTTCACAAATGACAACAACTTACGTTTTTACGTTATATCATAAGTTTTCTGTCATACATTTACTCTTAAACTTAGTATGCGTTTTATAATTACGATGAAGTAAGCTGTTATCACAAATTCATAATAAAGTATGCTCTCTGATAATAGTTATATAAACAGGGCCGTAGGAAGCGGAAAGGGCAGTCGGGCCATGACCTGGCCAGTTTTCCTTGGCACATATAACTACAACTTCTGTATTAATACTTGCCCCTTTTAATTAAATACATCACGTTGCATGTATGCAGTATTCATAGCGTTAACTTTTCAAAGTTTTTATGGGGGACAGACCCCCCCCCTAGAAATGGCATACCTTGCATGCTTGTAGTTTGTTTTGCAAACATCGTGTGTCACATTGTTTAGTTGTGGTAATGGCCTGACCACTCCAAAATTGCTCCCTATAGCAGTGATAAAGCATGTTTCAGATTATCTCCTGATTTACTAACGTGCTCGCCCTTTCAGCCGTGGGGACGTTATAATGTTACGGTCAATCACACTATCCATTGGTAAAAGAGTAGCCCCAAGAGTTGGCGGTGGATGGGTGATGACTAGCTGCCTTCCCTCTAGTCTTACACTGCTAAATTAGAGACGGCTAGCGCAGATAGCCCTCGTGCAGCTTTGCGCG